GCACACAAACACACGTGCACACGCGCACACAGGCAAACATGCACACAGGCAAACACACGTGCACACGCACACACAGGCAAACACGTGCACACGCGCACACAGGCAAACATGCACACAAACGTGCACACACACACACAGGCAAACATGCACACAAACACACGTGCACATGCGCACACAGGCAAACATGCACACAGGCAAACACGCACACAGGTAAACACACGTGCACACAGGCAAACACACGTGCACACGCGCACACAAGCAAACATGCACACTGGCAAACACACGCACACACAGGCAAACATGCACACCAGCAAACACACGTGCACACAGGCAAATGCACACAGGCAAATGCGCACACGCACACAAACACGCACACGTAGGCTGCACACAGCCTGTGCACTACACCTGTGTGGCTCACAGACACCGATGGTATGGGTGGAGTTGGTAGCCTCGGGCATCGCCCTCTGGGCAGCATCTGACCCTCCAGCTGGGTCTTCCATTCCTGCCCCCAGTGCCCCTGTGAGAGCTGCTCTCTCCCCACCGCCCACCCCCCAGAGTCCTGGCTCCACGTGGCCTGGAACCCAGAGAAGCCCTTCCTGCCCCTGCAGCCCTGACCAGGCACCCCTGCCACTGGGGGCGCGGCCCCTCAGATGCGGGGCCCCCTCCTCCATCACAGAATTTCACCCTGACCTCTCAAGACGCGGCTGGCACAGACCTCATGTTCATCCTGCCTGTGGACACTGGATGGCATCTGGGGCCCAGAAAGGTGCGGTGAGCTGCCTCAGGCCACACAGCTTCTCCGCGGGTAGGGAGGAAGCAGTCAGGGTGGGGACCCCAGGCCCTTCGTCCCCTCCAGACACTCACCTCTGTTGGGGCCGCCTTCTTCTGAGCCAAACCTGCAGAAGAGACAAACCGGTATCAGACAGGAAACTGGGGACCCCCCGGGAGCCCTGGGCCCAGCCCCCGGCCCACCTCCTGGCCCCCCAGGCCTGGCGTGTGTAACTCCGCATGGGGCCTGTCTCAAGGCTACACACACGTGAAGACACGGACTGAGTGTGCTGGGAGGATGTGATGAGGGCGGGGGCCGCTGAGACCGGCCATGGTCACCCTGGTTGGCGGTCACTGGGGCCTAGAGCAGGGCAGAGGCTTTCTAGCTTCAGGGAGGTGGGCAGCCGGTGACGCCCAGGCTTGGCACCCACCATGAAGGGCCTGGGGCTTGGACCTGCCTGGAGGAGGGGAGGGGAAGTGGGGAGCAAACTTCCCCCGGCTCTTGACCCCCTTCACGCCCAGACATCAGGTTCTGGGCAGTCACCGGCCGAGCAGGTCTGAACTGACCAAGCCCCGCTTCCCCAGAGGCAGGTGCCAGGAGAGGCTCGGGCATGGGGAAATCAGGTGCCAGCGTGGGGAGTGAGGGGTGCAGGCCCCTGCTGGGGCGAGGGCAGGCTGGAGTTGTGGGGAGCGCCCAGCAGCACCCAAGCAGCTGCAGTCAGTGGGAGTTGGCCAGGGGTCCCCAGGGCTGGCGCCCTCCCCATCCCTCTCCAGGGTGAGGTTTGTGGAACGATAAGGGAGCCTGCGAGGAGACCCCCAGCCCTGCCCTGGGTCCTGGGCCCACAGCCTCCGGTCAGCGCCTGCAGCAGGGCCTGGGCCGCAGCTCCAGAGAGGACGAGAGACAAGAGGGGCCTGCTGGGTTCAGCTCCAGAGAGGACGACAGGGGCCTGCTGGGTTGAGCCAAAGCTCCCTCCACACGAGGAGGCTGGGACGAGGGGAACAGGCGAGACTCGGCTCCTAGGACCCAGGACCACATTCGCAACCCTGGCTCCCAGCAGCAGGGCCCTGGGGTCCTCATCTGGAGAATGGGAACAGACTCTACAGCTGTGATTACGGGCCCTGAGACCGACGGGAGATGATCCTGGGGGACTTGGGATGTCCTCACAGGGTCCTCACGAGAGGAGGTGGGTGGGTGAGTCAGAGAGAGAGGGGAAGAGGCTGTGCCGTGGCTGTGAGGGGGGAGGAAGGAACCTGAGCCGACAGGTGTGGGCGCCTCTAGACGCTGGGAAAGGCAGGAAACGGATTCTCCTCTGCAGCCTCTGGTGGGCCCAGCCCTGCCCACAGCTTGACTCTAGGCTGGTGAGGCTGTTCTGGGGCCGGACTCCTGGCTCTGGAGCCCTGAGGCGGGCAGTGGTGTCGGTGACTGCAGGGAGCGCACGCACTGGCATCCACCACGCGGGCCCTGGGCAGACCTGGCCTCGCCCTCAAGGGGCTCACGGTCCACAGGGGTGGGCGCAGGGCTAGGTGTTTGATGTGGGGTGACAGGTGGGGTGCGGATTAGCAAGGGAGGCTTCCCTGGGCTGGTCGTGTCTGAGCTCAGTGCCGAACAAGGATGCCGGGGGAGCGGGAGGGATCCAGGCGGAGGGAGCCGCGGCGCAAAGGTCACACGGTGGCTGAGGCGGCCACGCTGCTGCACGGATCACAGCAGCGTTCTCCAGGCTCACACAGAGGCGGCTGCCGAAGGGGAGCGCCTCCCTGTTGGATTCCAACGCTGGCACCACCCGGGGCCCAGGGCATGGAGACAAATGTGTCTTGAATCACACAGGGGCTGTGGGGCAGGGCCGACTCCGCCCCAGCACTGCCTGTACCTTCTCACTCCATTCCCCACTCCTAGAGGAACAGGCTGAGGGTCGGGGAAGGGAGGGCTGGCCAAGGTCCTGCAGCCGGGGGTGCTGAGGCAGGCCCTCAAAGGGGATTATTATGAGCCCGTGGAGACGCTCGGGCTGCGCCGGGATGCAGGCAGGAGGGTGTGGCACGTGCCCTGCTCCGTGGGGCTCGGCCCTCTGGCTGCCTCGCTGCCCTGGGCTGGGCAGCAGTGCATTGGAACTGGTCTGGCCCTGGCTTCCAGGCCGGCTGAGGTGAGCAGGGGAGGCCAGGACACGTGAGGGGCCAACTGGGCGAGGTTCAGGGAGGTGCAGACAGGTGAGGAGGTGGCTGTGGAGTCCGGGGTGCAGATGGGGACCGTCGGGGGTGGGGAGCCGGCTGGGGGTGGACTGGGGAGAGGGGACAGAGGAGAATTTCCTGAGACAAGAAGTCTTTCTGGACCAAGGCCTCACAAAGCCAGCAAAGAGCGCGGAGGGAGGGAGCCCCTCTGTTCTAAGACGCGGAAAGAGACTGTCAGAGGGAGGGGTGAACCCACCCAAGGTCACGCCGAAGGAGAGTCAAACCCGGGCCTGGGTCATCGACGCCCCGCCCTGTCAGCCCTGCCAGTGCCCCTCGGCCCCCTGCGCTGCTCTCAGTGGGTGCACGGGAGACCCACATGTGTCCCATCTAGAGGCCGCGCGCGGCGACCGCCCTGCCGTCTGAAAATACGTCCACCGCAGGCGCTGACGGCACTGAAGGCACGACTTCGCTCTGCTGCCAGGTCAGAACCGCCAGGGACCCGGCGAAAGCACGAGGTGGAAAACTTTGCTGGGGTCAGGAGCCTCGGAGCAAGGGGCAGCCTGGGGAAGGGGCCGGGGTCAGGAGCCTGGGGCAGCGGCAGGCCGGGGAAGGCGCCGGGGTCAGGAGCCCGGGGCAGCAGCAGGCCGGGGAAGGGGCCGGGGTCAGGAGGCTCAGGGCAGGCCGGGGAGGGGGCCGCATCCGAGACGCTGGTGGGGCCCTGTTGTTGTGATCAGTCCCCATGCCCGCCTGGGGGTGCGGGGTTGGACAGTGTCCCCCCGACGTTCACGTCCTTCCAAGAACCTCAGCCTGCAACCTTATTTGGAAAGACAGTCTCTGCTGATGTCACTGGGTAAGATGAGGTCGTGCCGGAGTAGGGTGGGCCCTGGATCCGCTGCTGTCCTTATAAGAGAAGCCGCTTGGAGAGGCCAAGATGCCATGTGGGGTGGAGGCGGGGAGGGCACCGCTCCTGCAGGCCCAGAGACGCCAAGGATGCCCGGAGGCACGCGGAGCAGAGGGGCGTGAAGCTTCTCCACGGTGGGTCGGGAGGGTGCAGCCCTGCCCACTCCTGGACCTCGGGCTTCTGGCCTCCAGAGCAGAGCCAGAACAAATGCCTGTTCCAGGCTTGCTGCTCCAAGCCCCCCAGTCCCAGGGACTTTGTCTGGGCAGCCCAGGACCTCACACCGGGCGTGGCCCTCCAGTGAGGACCCCAGTCCTGCATGGGAGGGGGCGTACTTCTCGAGGCAGCCAGAACAGCGGAAGGGTCCTCCCCTCGGGCCACCTGGGCGCCCTGCGGGGCTGGGTGGGCGCCTGGAAGGGCCATGGAAGGAACTGGGGGACGGACCGCGGTGCTCACTGCAGGGGCGGGGGCGGGGACGGAGGGAGGGAGGTGACTCAGGATTCCGGCTGCCTGCCCTGGTGCAGGGAAGGACGGGGCTGCTTCTCCGTCCTTCCAGAGGACAAGGCTGGTCGCCCCAGGTCTCTGACAGGCCACACAGGGCCTGCTCTGGGCTGCGGGGGGCGGAAGGTGCTGGATGCTGACGTGATGTTTGGGTTGGCGCCCTGGAGCAGAACAATTCACGGTTTTACGTCCAGGGTGTGGGGGAAGGAAAAGAAGAGAGGGCAGGAAGCCAGTGGTGGGCCGGGGCGGGACATTCCAGACCTCATCGGGGGCCTGGGCGTCCCCCTGCTCAGCCCGTCTGGGGCCTCCCTGCCCACAGTCCTGACTCTACTCCCGAAACCGCCCCTCTGGGGCTCCCCCACACCCACTTGGGTGACTCAGCTGTTTTCCTCAGTGGCCCCGAGGCTGAGAGGTCACAGCCCTCGGGTCCACCCCTGCCCGGACTCTCCCAGGCTCCCTACTGCCCCGGGACCGAGTGGACAGGGTGAGGCCCTCCAGACCCGGCACTGCTGACCTCACCAGGCACCTCAGGGTCACCTGCATTGGGTCTAGGCCCCTTGCCTCAGTTTCCCTTCCTGGTTCCACATCTTCACCTGCCCAACTCGCCTGAGCTGGCTGACAAGGGGGAGAGGAGAGGGACGGCCAGCTCGGGCCCTGCTGGGAACGGCCCTGCATGGGGGCCTGTAGGTTAAGGGACTGGCCAGGGCCGAAGCACCAAGGCGGGGGTGGAGCAGGACGGGGAGGGGATGCACTCGGTTGGGGGACCCCAGGGAAAATGTGGGGCTCCCAGGGCAGGCAGGCAGGGACAGCAAGGGGAGACCAGAGCCGAGTGTCCTGTGGAGGAGAGGGGACAGGGGAGGAAGCAGAGCCTTGCAACCACCGCCCGGTCGAGTGGGCAGGTAAGCGCCATTTTCACTCAATCCTTGCTTCCCACGAGGCCCACTCCGGCACGGAGTCTGCCGTGACCCCCATGAGGGGCTGTCATGACATCGAGCTCTGCTCAGCCTGAGACGTGACTAATTATCTGCAGAATGAGCCACCCCGTTTTCGAGGAAATTAGGTTTTAAAAATAGTCGGGGGAGGAGAGGCGTGCCGCGCCGCAGAGCCGGGAGGTGGCCCCTCTGAGCAGTTTCCTCTGGCCAGACTGAGTGCCCAAGGCGGGGACTCTGCCGCTGGGGCCCCTCTCTCCTGGCCCCATCACAGGACCTGGCGGCAACGCAACCCGGGCCTGCGGCACACGGCTCTGATTACTGGCTGCACGTTGACTTCATCGGCCACCCCACCTCCCTGTGTGCCCAGGGCTTCTCTCCGAGCCTCAGTCTCTGCCTGTAAAGTGTGGCTGAAGCCAGCTCGAGCCCTCGAGGCACTGCCGTTCTCCACGGGGACACATGGCCACCTCTGCACCCGCTGTTCCCTGGCCTGTGCCCAGTCTCTGCCCTGGCCCTGCCGTGCCCCCTGGACGCCGTGTCCCACACCAGCCACCTTTGCACCCCACCGACGCCACCCCATCCTGCAGACCAGCCTGGTCTCTCCTGGTGACCCCGGGGACTCCCTCAGGATGGGGCC